AAAGCAGATGTAGTAAATCCACAATGGCGTAGTTCTTCACATAATTCAGCTTTCCATTCAGCGAATGTTTGTCCTGATTTTTGATAACAGGAGTAGAAATCATATGTGGACGTCATAATGTTCTTTGTTGCATCATAATGAGCATCTAACAACTTGATTAAATCGATGAACATTGTATCCTCACCAGTTAATGATCGTGGTGATATCAATGATTCTAGTAAATTATATGTGGTGTCACCAACAGACCCAAGAAAAAGCGCTTTTTTATCTTCAATAAAGTCTACAAACTGCTAGAGAGCCTTCCATAAAATTCTATTATAAACCTTTAAAGAATCTAACGAGATACTAATTTCTATTTTTTTTCATTGTGCTACTGTGATTTCTTTTAGTCGATTAGATGATCCGAAAAAAACACTCACACTATTACATTTGATTCGTCTGTTTAAAACACCACACTGCACAGGCAAAGAAATGAATGCATTGATCGAACTAATCATTGCATGTATTAACTACAATGAGAACAATGCAATCGACATGCAATGTTATTTGGTTGTATCTGCGCAATTCGAATCAATTTGGCGACTCTACTTCGATCCATTACTTATCGAAACAGTCGATAGTCATGATGATCGTGCCCGCAAAGATGCCATTGATCAACCAGCATATCATTCCAAACAATCACTCACAGTGCGATGGACAGATGGACGTGAAGATGTTTGTAGTGATGGTATTGTTCAACCCCGTGAACGTGTTGATAATCTTGTTCATCAAGCATTGAATGTCTGTGAGAATAAAGAGCAATTAATGAATTTACTCAGTAGTATGCAACCAAGTTTTATCAAAGCTATTCATTTGTTCCCAGCTTGGCTACGTTTATATGGTCATTTAAGCAAACTACCTTACTTTGACGTTACGATTAGTCAATATCTTTTCGAACGTCTTCAAGAAGTGAATATGGAAAGTTATGGAGCAGCATTGGTTCAATTCATCTTTGATTTATTTAATATATGGCCATCGTTAAGTGATAATCATCTACTCAATTTAGTCCGTGATCGCATTGTTCAACTTATTCGAGTACTTATCATGCATAAGACCCAAGATTCAAATGTACTTATTGAAAAATTGACCGAACGCATTTGTGCAAATACACCAGCACAGAACATACGTGGTCATCTCTGTTTCTTCTTACTTCTAAGCGATTTATTACCAAAGTATTACGAAGCTGGATTATCTGGTGCTATTAAAAAAATTGATAAAAATATCTTGTTATGGTATGCTGATTTAGTCTTAGCAGACAATAATGCAGAAGTTAGTGGAAACCACTCTGCTCTCATGATTATCTTGAAATATATGAGCATGTATACAGAATACAATCTACTTCGTGAATGGTTTGATCGCATGGCAACACGTCCAAACGACTTGATCTGTTTTCAACTCATTGAATATTCACTATGTCCTACAACAACATTAGCAACGTATGTCCAACACGCAACCGATGTACAAGTCGAGCAACTACTTCAATGTATTCAATCCAATGAAGCTACACAATTCATTCCTATTCTATTGACAATTCTTGAATTCTTAGCTAAAAATGCTCAAACACAAAGGTGTCTCTTTCGATCCGATCATTTGTGTCGTGTCATTCAAACATGGTTATCATTAATTAGTTTGCCTTCGATAATTTTCCGTCTCATTCAATTACTTCTTGATATTGGTTATTCAAAATACAGTAAACATGCAAACGATATTGCTCAATTTTTTCTGGGTGAATATTCGTCTACTTTGATATCAATCAATTTTGAAGGTCATAGTCCTCTAGCTCTTATCATTTTATTTATTTCGTCGTTGGCAGAAACTGATGAAACGAACAGGGAACTATCACAATTGCAACCTGAAATTCTAATTCAGAGTCTCTTTCGTACTATTGATGAAGTGACTGACGATGACAATAATTCAAGTTCGTCGCATCTGCTTAGTCTAAGTGGAGAAATTATCAAACAACAATCACGTACTGTACTTATTCAATTACTTTCTTCATTCATTCCTGATATCATGGGCCTATTGGGTCGCACAGGTCAAATGAAAAAAGCCGGTATTATTCTCCTAGCTGAAATATTAAATTTGTCACCTAACGAGCGTTCGGTGTTAATTGATAATGTTCAAGATCAATCGACAATAGACAATATTAACGATCTCTTAAACACCAATCAAGAACAACAGACATCATTCTTCTCTAGTGAAGTCTCAAATACAACAGAAATCGTTCCAGTACGGCATAACGACTTCATCGTTGGACACAAGTTTCTGACAAATTTGAATGATGCTGAGGCGGACAAAGTTGATCAAATTCTTCGATCTTATATATCCCAACAACGTTCAGAGATATGTCCTATAAATGAACAACAACAACGACATCGACTTGTACTTACTGCTACAGCACGCGAGAATGTATCCAAAATTCTTGAAGTACTCGATGATCCCATTCCAATTTTACTTGAAGGTAGCACTGGTGTTGGAAAGAGTGCTAGTGTTATGGAAGCAGCTCAACAATCGGGTCGTACTCTAGTACGTTATAATATGTCTTCACGTGTCACTATCGATGATCTTCTTGGTAAAGTATCGCTCGTACCTGATGTCGAAACTCAGACAACAAGTTTGAAATTCGTCGACGGACCATTTACTACTGCTTTTGCGCATGGCTATTGGATACTATTTGATGAACTTAATCTTGCTCAAGATACAGTTCTTCAAGCCATTGAATCAGCTCTTGATACACGCCAATTAACTATAAACAATTCGAGCTCAGCTGAACAGTCAGTTATCGTATATCGAATGCATTCAGATTTTCGATTGTTTGCAACACAAAATCCAAATACAGGTTTTTTTAAGGGTAAACGTGAAAAATTATCTCCATCATTTTTAAGTCGCTTTCGACCACTCGTTTTCAAAGAGTTACCAGACAATGAATGGCGTCAAATCGTACAGCAACAACTGACACCTTATCTACCTGATGAAGCCGAAGCTTTGGCCGAATTACTCGTATTTAAGTTTAATGCTATTATCAAGAAAGCATTAAATGATCCGAAACACCCGTCTGTCGAAACGGGACCATATGCAGAAACATCAATTCGAGAACTTCTCAAATGGGTAAATTTACTTATTTCTCAAAAGAACAATGGATTATGGCCTCATGAAATAACGGCACGTGCCGCTCTACTCAGTTTTAGTGCCTGGTGTGTCTATGGTGCACGATATCGTGCAGAAGATCGTACTCTCATCGAAAATATACTTACCGACAATGGTAAAGGTGGTTTGGGTCGTCCATCACTTCAAAAGATCAAAACTATCATTGATCAAGATAAAAATTATATTTATTTTGATACTGTCCGTTATCGAGCCCGAATTGAAATACCAATCGAAGATCCAAGAACTGAATGGACTCGCGCATTTACATCATCTAATCTTGATACAGTTGATTATCATCCAGACTTATGGAGAATAGCACTTGAAGCTCATACTGCAATTCATAAAACCTTGCTAAACAATGAATTTATTGGTTTACATGGTATTTATCGAATTAATCGATCATGGCTTTGGGAATGGCTTATCTCGGCTGCACGTTCAAATCTTTTCAAATCACAGAAAGAATTTGCCCTTCATGGTAGTAAAATGTATCAATGTCGTTTTCGTCACAGTGCAGCACAAGAATTAGTTCGTACTTGCTTCAGTAAAATTTTTAAGGATCCTGATTTGATACGAAAGACAATTGATGATTCATTTGTAAAATCAGAAATGCCCTATGTACTTACTGATCGAACATTGGCAACATTGAAACAAGTATGTTTCAACATGAATATTAAACAACCAATTTTAGTTACCGGTGCAGAAGGCTGTGGAAAATCAGAACTTTTACTTACATTGGCTTGGTTCTGTGGACAACGTGTCCATCAATTGAACATAACGCCAGAAACGGAACCATCAGCTCTTATCGGTCAACTTGTTCCAAATGATAGTAAAGATGAGAATGATCCAAATTATGGTCAAAAGCTTATATGGCAAGATGGTTATGTTACTCAAGCATATACAAATGGTGAATGGGTTCTTCTTGATAATCTTGGCGTAGCTGAATCTTCAGTATTAGAACGACTTAATCCTGTTCTAGAACAAAAGCCTATGCTTGTACTTACTGAACGTGGTGATGTTAATGAACAAACTATTCATGATGATTATCAATTAGTAGCAACAATGACACCACCTGATAATCGTTCACAATCACAAAATAATGCGAGTGGTTCAGCAAATGAACTATCACCAGCACTCTATAATCGTTTTGCTGTTATTCATATGCCTGATATATCGTTCGATGTCACACATGATTCACAAGAATTACTTCAGATTACTAAAGCTCTGCTATCCGATGAACCTGGTATCGACTATACATTGACTGTAGAATTTTGTCGTGCAATTCTCGAATTCTACATAAAGCATACTAAAAGTTTTTCTAAATTTACCATGCGCAATATCATACGATTGCTTGATAGTGCTTATCTTCTTCAATTACGATTCAAAACTACACTGGATTTTATCTCTAGCTTATGGACAGCATATCATGTTACGATTGCTAATCAAATTAAAGATGAAAATCTCAGAAAGGAAATAACCGATCATGTCAAGAAGTTACTTACGAAAAATCGTTCATCAACTGACCTTCGTCAACCAATATTCACTGACTGGATTCATAAGAGTGACGAACATATTTTGACTGAAAGTCGATTGAATTATGCTAATGCAGTATTAGGTGCTGTAACTTGCAATATTCCTCTTTTACTTGAAGGACCAGCAGCAGTTGGTAAGACTGCACTTATTTCATACTTGTGCAAGAATCTGAAGACTCAAATTTTTAATAATAACTCCAATAGTGGCATTCAACTCGAACGAGTAAATAATACCGATACAACTACAATTCAAGATTATCTTGGTACATTTTTACCTGTCAATGATGGTTTTGCATTTCAAAAAGGTGCTCTCTATCGTGCAATGGAAAACGGTTGGTGGTTCCTTGCCGATGAATTCAATTTAGCCGATCCATCCGTCATGAACATGCTCTTTCCTTTACTAGAGGGTAAAAACGCTATCACTATACCAACCAGTGGTAAGATTATAACAGCTAAACCAGGATTTCAATTCTTTGCTACACAAAATGATGCATCATATGCTAATCGATATCAGTTACCAGTATCATTGCGTAATCGATTTCTTGAAGTACAGTTTGGAGAATTTCTTGATAATGAACTACCACAAATCATTCTGCAACGTAATGAACTCGGAAAATTAAAACCAAAATGTTTAACAAAAGACTCAGCTAAAGAACTAGCTCAATTTTATCATCGAGTTCTTCGAACTCGATCACGTATTACATTTCGTGAACTCGTTAAATGGCTTCATCGACATGCATTTCTATCGCCAAACAAAGAACTTTGGTCGACTATTGGTGCATTATTATTAAGTGCTAAATATCCAGTCGAATCTGAAGCACGAGAAATATTGATTAAAGATTTAAAAGAAACCTGGCCGAAAATTATTATGTCAACAAATCCACAGGTCGAAATTAAAGACATTGGTGGGCAAGTTCGTTTTCGAGAAGGTGAACTATACGTTGATGTACCGAATATAACATTAGTTGACAGTCTAGTGCCATCATCACCTGAAACATTTCTTCGTTCACTCACACGCCTTGCTCTAGCTGTTGCTGCTAAAGAACCTGTACTTCTTGTTGGTCCAACATCATGCAAAACTCTACTCGTTGAAACATGGACTAATCTTTCGAACCGATCCCATGAACTTATCAAAGTACATTTAACACCGGATACAGAAGCTGGTGATCTAATTGGAGAAATTCAACCATACTCCTTTTTGGATCTACTCAAACGACTACCAGCTATGGCTGAACGTGTCTATCTTCGTTTTCAAAGTCTTTGTCGGCATCATAATAACACAGGAGTTTTGACAATGAAAGATGAAACTTTTCTACAACCTCTGATTGATGCAATCAAGATACAATTGCCAGATGCTATTCGAAAATTTGAAAATGCCTATTCACGTGATGAAGAACGACGCCAACAGAACGATCAATTTCACGATGATTTTGATGCACTTCGTGCACAGACCGAATCTCTCATGATGCCATTATCACAAGACAAACTTATAGGTGATGTCGACAATAACAATAGTGAATCAACAACAACAACAATATACAATTTACCATCTCAATCGAAGCCAATAACAATCGATCCTTTGTCGAGTTTTTATGGACCAGACGATTCTTTTGATACTTTATATCAACCAGATAATGGACAAAACTACACAGGTGAATTCTATGAATCAGGAGATGATGGTTTTGGTAATTTTGGAGATTACAACGGTCAAAGTTCAGCAACAACAAGTCATATTACCAATTCGACAAACTTTATTGATGATGATGGTTTTGGTTTTCAAGCACTTCCAACACAATCGAATATGCAATTGGAAGATTCTGCTGTCATATACGACGATGGTTTTGATCTGCCGGCATATGGACAAGAATCTGCGGGACAGTCAGTAGATCAATCGTTAGAGACAATACTCGATGATGGATTTTCCAATGTGATCAATACAACTGGACATACCAAAACATCTATCTCATCGATAATACCTCCGAATCAAAGAGATGAAACTGAATTTCCTGACGAGCTTATCGTTACCATTGCCGATATTCGTGAACAATTTAAAGCTATACTTCAACATACAAATTATGCTTCATTCACTTCTAAAGATGCAACACTGCTCGATTATCAAACAAAATTTAATGATACATGGGAACGTCTTATTGCTTCTAATTTCGATTGTACGAAGCCTATTTTTCTTTTTAATGATGGGCCTGTTACTATTTCAGCAAAACGAGGTGGCATTCTCTTTCTTGAAGATCTCGATCTACCAAGTCAAGCAGTGATTGAACGACTCAATTCGATGCTTGAACCAAGTCCAACATTTGCACTCACAGAAGACATTACAAGTCATGCAGAAAAAGGTCAACTTGATATTGTCTTATCAAATCAATTTCAAATATTTGCCAGTGTACATCAAGAACAAGCTCATCAATTACTCAAACTGAGTCCAGCAACACGTTCACGTTTCACAGAAATTCATGTACCAGCCTATTCAGAAAAAGAACTTCAAGTTTTAATAAAGTCTGAAATGATCAAACACAATATCAGTTCTAATCAAATTGATTCATTGGTTGAAATCATGTTCTCATTGCGTCAAAAATTACATGAAGATCCTGAATGGAAACTTGAAAATGACATTCAACTTTTGTTTCGTTGGGCAGACTTCATTGCTAATCATCATACATCGATTTCACTGATTCATCGAATGTTTCTCGGTGCTCGATTTTTCTTTTTTGATCAATTACCCATGTCAAGACATGCTAGTCTATTCGAAGATTGGAATAAAAATTCGAAATTGGGAAAGAATTATCAAGAATATGAACATCTCTTTCGAGCTCCTAAACCTACAGATGGAGCTATTACATTGGAATCAATTGAATCAATGGATACTGATGTAGAACCGACATTACCATTTGAAGTTACTCGTGATTATATATCATTGAAATATACTGGTGTACGATATTCTTGCGAAAAAAACGATGAACAAAATCAAACATTACAAACGAACGAACTTAAGCAACGTTTCTATTGTGTACCAACATCAACCTTAATCAATCAAATTGCACGCATTTTTGCAGCAACATCGTCTAAAACACCACTTCTTCTTGAAGGTCCACCCGGTATTGGTAAGACTCAAGTTGTCACACAAGTTTGTGCATTACTAAATAAAAAATGTGAACGAATCAATATGTCAGCTAATACATCACTTGATCAATTGATTGGTTGTGTTATTCCTCGGTTTGTCAATGGTACTCGTATCTTTCAATGGCAAGAAGGTCGAGTATTATCAGCGATTAAAGCTCAAAAATGGATTCTTTTCGATGAACTCAATTTAACCGCCCCTGAAGTACTTGAAGGTCTTACACCTTTATTCTATCGAGGTACTTCTCGGTTTGTTGTACCGGCTACTGGTGAAGTTGTCGAACTAAAAACTATTCGTCTATTTGCAACAATGAATCCATCAACAATTGGTGGTGGTCGTAATAAATTACCGCGTTCGATAAGTAATCTGTTTACTATTGTACAATTAGATGATTATTCTGCAACTGAGCTTCGTATTATTCTTAATAGTTTATTTCAACAGGAATTAACTAAAGATAATATTAGTATGTCTCAACTTGATGCACTCTTTGATCTACATACATCACTTAAAGAACTTGTACGCCAAGGTACAATCGGACGAACAGGTGGACCCTATGAACTTAATTTACGTGATCTATCAAAATTTCGTGATGTGTTTCGTGGTTCAATTGAAAGTCAACTATTTCATTATCAGTATATGAATACGACAGATGACGATGAGGATTATAATCAGAAAGAGGAGGAGAACAACAACAAAGAAAATAAAATAACAGAATTGAGTCCTACAATGAATGCATCTGATAGTCGTTTTTTATCAATTCGAAAATTTGCTCAAGTCGTTTATGCATGTCAATTTCATGGTCAATATGATTTTATTAAAGCATGTGAAATGATTAATTCAAAATTTCCCATCAATGCAACATTAAGTAAACGTGAAAATGATTATTCAATAGATACAACTGTAGTAACAGTAGTTCGAATTGGTTCAATCTATATTAGTACTGGCACAGAAGAACCTATATCATCTGATCATGCTCTTATTCATACAAAGAAAACTATTCGTCAATTAGAATTACTTGCTGCTGCATGTCAATCAAAACGAGCTATACTATTAGAAGGTGATATTTGTTCTCGAAAGTCATCTTTAGTTATGGAATTAGCTCGTCTTACTCGTCAACGTCTTATTATTATTCCAATGCATGAAAATTTTGAAACATCTGATTTAATTGGTTCATGGCGACCAACTACTAATAAAACACAACATCATCCATTATTCGATAAAATTGATACAATGTTTAAACAAATTATTAAAATGCTTATTCTTATAATAATGCCATTATTATCAAAAACAAGTAATAGTGAAGTATTTACTAAATTTAAAAATATTCTTCGTCAACGAATTCCAATATCTGGTTCAAATCGATATGAAATGATTCCATATGAAATTGAAGGTCTCAATGAATTAGTTATATTATTACATAGATTAGTAAAAATCTCCCAGTTATCAAATGATGCTAAAGTACTTATATCATGTTATGCACGTCAATCAGATTATTATGCAAATAAATTAAAAGATGTTCGTATGGATAATAAACAAGAAATGAGTTTTACATTTGTTGAATCTGAATTTATTCAAGCTATTCGCGAAGGTTGGTGGGTTCTTTTAGATAATATAAATAGTGCACCACCTGAAGTATTAGAACGTTTAAATTCTTTAACTGAAGATAATCCAATGTTATCATTATATGAAAATTCTAATGGACAAATTTTAACACAAAAAAATGGTATTCATCCAAATTTTCGTTTATTTACAACAGCTAATCTTAATCGAATTTATTCAAATAAACTTTCATCAGCATTTCTTAATCGTGTTATTCGTATTTGGTTACCACCGATTGATGAATGTGATTTAACAACAGATGATTCTGATTTAACAACAACGGATTTATATGAATTAATTTCAAGTCAATTATCAAAAATTCCAGCTGGAAAGCAATTATCACATTTACTTGTTTTAACACATATTAATGTTAAACAATATGTTAAAGATAGTCGTCTTAATTATCCAAGTGATTTTATGATAACTTACCGGTTACTTGAGCAATGTGTTAATACACTTTGTTATCTTGTTAATAAGAATGTAAATCCAGTTGATGCTTGTTATTGGTCATTAATACGTTCATATTGTTCGTCATTACGAGATATAAATCAATATCGATTTTTTATAAATCGACTTCAACAAATAATTGATAAATTACAACTTCGTTCATCATCAACAATTTATTCAACAGCTACAGATCAATTTGATCAAAAACAATTATTATGGTTACAAGAAGCACAATGTATTCGTTCACATTTTATTCAATTTGAAAGATTTCTTATTGAATTTCAAATAACTTTATTACAAATACTTTCTTTGGATAATAAACATATAAAACAAACACGTGACTTATTAATTTTATTTATTGATGATATTCTTCTACCATTAAAGCCATCTGATGCACCAATAATTCAATTAAAACAAATCTTAATTAATGAGGATGATAATAATATTAAACTTGATCTTTCTCAAATGTTGTTTGAATTAGTAGAATCAAAACAATTAAATACACATTTTGATAAAAGTCAAACATTGGATATATCAAATTTTGTTCAAGATTTTCTTACTAATGGATCAAAATCTTTTCAATCAGTTTGTGATCAATTAAGTAATTTACTTGATATATTTATACGCAATACATCATTTAATGATACAGATCAACGTTTATCATTTCTTCAACGTTCAATATCAATAATTGAAATATTTCAAAGATTTTTTAGTTCATCAATATTTTCTAATTTTGATCGAAAAACAAATTTAATCTCACTATGTTCTCATTTAGTACAATATCTCCGACCTTTATTAACATTTAAAGATAAATTAAAATCTTATGAATTATTCAATGATGTTGCTTTTATTGATGCAAAAGATCAATTTCGTTCTCATTTATTTACACATTTTGATACAGGAATTATTTGGTCATTTGAACGTGCACAAACATTTCCAATACGTTTATCAAGAAAAGATTTACGTAAACTTATTCAACATATTATTAAAGATCAAACAAATCCAAATATTATTTTACCATTAGAATATTTTTCTACACTTCAAGAATGGATTGGTTTACAATGGACATTTGATGATTATTTAACTGTTAGTGTACGTGATGCTTTACAAAAAAATCTTCCAATAACAAATGATTTTATTCTTGATTGTGAATTTAAATTTTCTTCTTGGGAATTATCAAAACAATTATCATTTATTATTGAAGATATCATAAAAGATTTACCATCTCAATCAAATACAATTAATAATGATTATTTAAATATGAAAAAAGATCTTGAAAATAAACAAGATCAATCTAATCAATGTCAATTAAATATTGAACAAATTAAAAATAAAATTCTTATGAAAAAAACTGAATCAACTAAAACAGAAGGAACATCAACTACAACTAATCAAACAAATACAGCAAAACTTCAAAAAACTATGTCATTTTTTGATCCTGAATATGATGATTTAACAAGTAAATTAACTTCATATGAAAATGAATTTATTCGATTAGGTGAACAATTAAATTATTTAAATAATCAATATCATAAAATTGAACAAACACGTTCAACAATACTTGATAAAGCATTAAATGCATCTACTAAACTTCAAAATGAAATACAAAAATTAATTAAATCTGTTCCTTATAAATTTATTCAACAACATTTTCAACAATCCGATGCAAAACAATTAAATTCTCTTTATCAATTACTAGTTGAAGCAAAACAAAATTCAAGTTTAATTAATGTTGATGGTTTACTTGATTTACGTGCTGTTTTAGCAACACCATTTGGTCGAATATTAATTCAACATGATGATATTCTTCAAACACCACTTATTTTTATTTTATGTAATTTTTTTGTTTTACCAAATTTATATAATCAATATCGATTTTATTTTATTTCCGATTGGAAACAATTACAAAATGATTTCGATATTCGAACATTTAATCGTTCTCATCTAGTTTTTTATTGTCCAACAAAACAAACATTTGATTCTTGTTTATTTACAATTGAAAATCAACCACGAAAAGTTTTAATTACAATATGGAGTTTACAAGAATATATTGATATTAATGGTTTTAATGAAATATTAGATGAAATTTTACCTAATGAAATTGAACATAATATTGAACAAGAACAATTATCTGATATAGCTAATACATTTACTAATAATAATTATCAAACATTTGGTTTAGCTTGTTTAATACATTTACATGAAAAAAGTAGTTTATCAACACCCACAACTGATGAAATGTATAAAAAATTAATAATTGTTTTTGATCAATTAAAACAATTTGTTCAACATAATTCTTTGCAACATAAATCATTACCAATTTTTATTTATCAAAATTTAAATCGTTTTGAAAAAGAATTAGAATCATTTAGTTTAAATAATTATGCAATGAATCCCTGGTTGGTATCAGTTGAACAAATGTGGAATTTAATAAAACCTTATCAAAATATATTTTCATCAATAATAACACAAAATATTCAACAAGAATTAAAATATACAATTCAATCAGTTCAACCACCAAATTTAAGTAGTCGTCTTACATCATTAGCTTATTTACAAACATTAACAAATAAATATGCATGCATACATATGATAATTCAACATTTACATGATGATATTAATTTAACAACAACAACAGAAAATATAAAAGATTTTCAAATATTTTTTGATTTTATTAAGAAAATGAATCATTTATTAAAATTAATAAATCAACATATATTATTTGGTGGTTATCAATTAACAGATCAATTTTATAAATCTACACCACAAATTATTTTTCATTTTGAAACTATATTTCGTTCAACATTATCAATAATTGATATTAATAATGGACAATTAAATATTTCTATTAAACAAACATCTTCAACATTAATTCATTTACAAAAACAACTTGATCAATATTTAATTGATCTTCATGTACCAAATAGTCTACTTGCAAAATATAATCTTCTTAATATTGTTATTCATTTATCACCATTATTTGATGAAAATCGTTCTCAGTTATTATCATCATCGAATCAAAATAATAATTCTTTAATTAATGATGATCCAAAAGAAGTTCGAAGACAAACAATACAAAGTCAAATTGATACTAGTATCAACAATTTAACTGATGTTCTATCACGAGCTGGTCATCTTTCTATACGCCCACATTATATTATTCAACGTATTCATTCAGCTTTACATCGATTAAAAAAATTTGATATTATTAAAGAAACAGATAAAAATTTAACAGATCTTTTAAATGAAGAAAAAATTTTAACTGATTTATTAAATAAATTTAAACGAAAAATTGATCAATATACATCATTTAATGTTACATTACCTAATGATAAACCTATTCGACAATTAACTGATAAAGATATTCAATTTGAGAATACTTCAATTAACATTTATGATCATCAACAAGATTTTAAAAAATATTCAGAGAAAATACATAAAAGTAGTCAAGCTAATCAATCTACTCAATTAAATCAAATAATTCGTTTAACACTTACACAAGTATCTGATCAAACATGGATAAAAGCAATGTCTTTATTAACAACAAATAATCAAGAAGAATTAAAAAAAATATTAATGATATTAAATGATGATTTAGCTATGCAAATTGAACAAGAATCAACAAATCAAGATAATACAAATAATACATTAATTAATAATATAATATTAGGTTATGCACAATTTCGATGTGATTTACTTAATGAAGAAACAAAACGTGGAATGTTATCAAATTATATTGATGTTGCTCGTTTGTCAAGTGAACTTCGACAATGGACAACAAAAACTGATTTAAATGTATTTAATATGTTAGAAACTATACGAAAATTTAAAGATGATCTTAATTTAGCACATAATCAAATGAAAAATTTTACAAGTAATGCAAGTTGTAATCTTTTACCTGTTATTATACGACCTGAAGACCTTATTTGTTTATTAGCACCTGAGTATACAACAACTATAGAAATTATTTTTCGAAAATTTAATGAAATTGATTTATTTCTTTCATGTCGTATTAATAAAATTGAACCAATGCAATTATCAACAATACCATCAAATATTCAAACAGATATTGGTCTATCAAGTTATATTTATCGTCGAGATAAACAAATAATATCATTATTTGATAAACAAAAACATATTCATTCATTAATAAATATAACATCAAAATTTGTTCAACAATTAATTGATATTTGTATTGATCCAAAAAGTCATCAAACTTTATTAATGAAAATTTGTACAAGTATTAAAGAACTTTTTCCAATTCATATAGGACTTTCATTTGGATTATTAATATTAATAAATTCAACTGGAATTTATCTTGAAGATTTTAAACAAAATATACGTTTATTAAAGATAACAACATTAAAAGATGAACACGATCATATAAAACAAATTGAATTTAAATTACAAAAATTAGAACAAGATTTTCTTAAATATGAAAATGATTTGAAAACAATTCGTCAAAATCGTGAAGATGCTGAACTTGAACTTCATTGTGTTACAAATGAATCAATTTCATTAATTGAAAATAAAACAAATCTTGTTTTAGAATGGCGAACAAAAGAAAATGAAATGAATAAAAATGTTGATATGAAAAGAAATGAAATTAATAATCTTAAACAACAACTTCAAGGATTTATTGATATATGTCAAACAAAACAAGAACAACAACAAGAACAATGGTTAATTGATATTTTACAATATCTTAATAAAATCTCGGAAAAAATTCAAAATTATATTTTAAAATTAAATAATAAATCTTCATTATCATCATCGACAAATCTTCCTGATTTACTTAATATTATTATTGATATAATTCGTCAACAATTACATGAACCAACTAAATTACTTATTGATGAAAATGAAATAAAAATTTTAGAAAAAGATATTAATGATTTATTATTTGAAATTCAAAATCATTTAATGAAATTAATGGAAAATGATCCAATGTATTCATTTATTTTATTTTATTGTCATTTAATACGTATGTCTTTTTCATCATTATTAAATTCATTATCAAGTTGGACTAATTATTCAAATATATTAAAAACATCTCAAATGAAATTTTATGGAGAAAATCTTAAAAAAAAACAATTATCGAATTTAACTATTAGAACAAATGAACAATGTCATTTATTTTTAAATGAAATTCGTCAAGGTTGTCAACAAAATCAAATTATGAAACGTGCACAAAATATTAAAGATTATGTTCATAGAGAAGTTACTAATTTTGATATATCAATGACTGGTCAAGATGCACAACAAATGCAATTTTTAATACGAGAATTTGAAAGATTTGTTATTAATTTACTTATTGTTGGTTGTCGATTTTTACAATTACAACATGGAATAAATGAAACACTTGATGAACTATTAATTGATATATCAATTGAAAATCTTGATCTTAATTTACCACGTACAGAACTTGATTTACTTAAATTACTTGAAATACGTCAAACGCAATTAGAAAGTCATCATAGTACTCTATTATTTCTTACATTACATATTGTTTTTGATTTTAATTCAAATCCATTTGGTTTATTTGATCAACTTGATCATTCAATACAAGCATTTACAAAACTCTTATTACCATCTGCTTATATGATTAAACAAACCTGGTTAACAATTGATGAATTAATTGAAAAAATCTCGAAACAAATAAAAATCGATGAATATGAAATTCTTATTGAAATTTGTAAAGATTTTGAATGTTTTATTGATAAAACTAATCAAATTGATAATCATAGTCAATTTCTTATTAAATTATTTGAATCAAATTTATTAGAAAAAATTTCAAAAAATCTTAATAAATTATCTGAAGAACTAATTGAAAATCGTTCAGGAATGAAAATGTTTAGTGAAGATTTAATTTTTCGTTGGAATACAACAATTAAAGAAATTTTACGTGGTTTTATTCAAACACAAAAATATTCAATTCATCGACAACTTGAATGGAATCAACGAAAAATGAAAAAATTTTCAGAATTATTAATCGATGATGAAAATTTAAATACAAAATTTTGTTTATCTGATATTGATAAAATTTTACAAAGAAAAAATCTTGTTTTTGCATCAGTTAATTTTGAAATGAAAACAAATTATTTAAAACAATTTTATCATCTTGAAATAATTTATCAATTAACACTCGGTGGAATTGATAATCTTGAATTAATTATTATTAATAAACCAATCGAATATATGGATTTTATTATTATTAAAGAATTATTTATTTCAACATTAAATATTTATAAAAATAGTCAAAATATTCTTCTTCAACAACCATTTTATGATTTTATTCGTAATAAAACATCAATTAATCAATCATTTCAATTAATTGAAGATATTTATCGACAAGAATCAAAAATTTTTCAAAGTTTTTGTAAATTAACAAAAGAACAAGTCAAAAATACTTATGAACAATTAGTTAATTCAAATGATTTTCAATTAATTCTCAATCAAAATAAACGCGCTGATCAACAATGGCAAATAACTGGACAAAATTTTGTTGAATTACGAAGTAAACACCGAAAATCAACTAGAGGAGTTTGGGGAACATTGGGACATGGATTGTTAAGTATTGGAGGAAAACTGATGTCGCCATTTTTATCAAATTCAACTCAATCAACTCTCAATGATATTGATAAATTTTTTGCATATGTATTGCAAGATACTTTATTACTTATGCAATCAGAACAAATTGGTAATAATCAAATATTTACAAGGGCTCATTCAGAAGAATTAGAAAAACTTATTCATTTACATAAACGATATAAAATATCTTTGAATTTAAGAGAATTAAATGAAAGTTTATTTCCTAAATCTAATCAAATCTATCGTTTTGAAATTAATTGTTATAACCATCAATTACATAAGATTCTTATTCTATTTTGGATATCCAATACTGAACAACCATTTTTATTTTTACCGATAAATTTAACTGAGCGTTATACAAAATTTTATCTCATTATTAACACACCAGTAACACATTTAGCGATCGAAACTGACTTTTGTGCTGGAAATCATGAAAAATGGTCAAAATTAGTTGATCACCGAGAAAAATATCGAATAAAGGATATCGTAGAATTAAAATGTGAAAAAATTTCAACAAATTATTGTTATACAGTAAATAGTATTGCAGATACACTTTCACCAACAATGATTCCATCTCGTTCTCAGATATTACAGAATTTACAAGATTTAGAAGAACAACTTGAAAATCAAATAACACATTCAAAAGAAGGAGATTTATTCAGAAAATCATTGATTACACCAGCATTTCAATTAGTTACAAAAAATCTTAATGAAATTATTCAAATAATTCAATGTCCAAATTTACATGAAAATGATTTATTAAATACAACAAATATTTATCAATTATTTATGAAATTTCCACGTTCAGATGTACTTATTAAGGCATTAAATCTTCTACGAAATGAAACTTTTTCATCAATTTCATCAACAATACAATTTGTTGATGATAATGATCCAGCATTACGTATTACGAGTTTTGATCTTGTTTGGACTCATTCAATGAAAAATGCTTTTACATTAAGTCGACAATGTTTAATTGATGGTAATACACAAATGAATATTTTTATTAATCATTTACGTCAAATGAAATCTTATCTTATTCTTGCTTATGCTTGGGCTAATTCTTTATCAGAAAACTCATCATCAAATATTCAACAAGAATTTTCTTCAATGTTAAATGAATATAATCAAATACCAAAATTATCTAATCAAGAAAATATTGAATATTTAAATGAATGTCAATCGATAATAAATGATGCACAAAGAATTTATCGAACAATTAAACGAACATCAAATAATTGGATGGAAATAAAACGCCTTCTTAATTTAACAACATTTTCAATAGAACCTAATTTAAATAAAGCATTTAGTCATTCACATATGAGTCGTGATGCTCACTTATGGTTAATTGAAACAAAAACTAATGATAATACATTAATTAAATTAGAATCTCATCCCCAACCAGCTATTCTTGATTTTGGTATTACTCTTGCTCATATCCAACAAAAATTAATTCAACGAATTTTTATTCATAATCAATCAGATCGAGATTTATTTTTATGTATTGATCGACCAACAAATGATAATCCGATATTTGATGTTACAAATGAAAATATTCAATTAGCTTCTTCAGATACATATCAATTTGACATTTTATTAAAATCACCAACTACAATTGGTTTTACAAATGAAAATTGGAATCTTTTGATTGATAAGAATTATACAATTACGAATGCAATTCAATTACAGACACAAACAGTTGAAATTGATGTTGAACTTTCAAGTGATAAAATTGATTTTGGTTTAATACCGTGTAATAATCATCAAATTGAAAAATCTATTTTTTTTAAAAATGTTTTACCATGTTCAGTACGTGTTAAAGCACAAATACAATCAACAGAAACAAATCGTTATCAATCAAATTTAATTATTTTAAATAATGAACTTGAAATACCAGCTGAATCGACAATATCATTTAATATTGCATTAGAATCATCAGAAAATATTGAAGAAGATATTGATGTTGATATTTGTTTAGCAATTAATACAGCAAAAAATTTTAAATTATTTAAAGTATTAGGATATATTCGACAAACTCATTTAATGCTTTTATATCAAGGTCGTATTATTATGGATAATAATCAATCAAATCGTTTACTTATTCCTGATTTTTATAAAAATGAAAAACGTCGTATTCCAATTGAATTTCAAAATACTGGACAAATTGAATATACACTTCGTCTTCATTCACCAACACTGAAATTAATAACAAATGATATTCATATGCCAGTTAATGAAAAGAAAACTATTAATATTGAAATACAAATGAATAATAATACACATCAAGAATTTATTCTTAATATTGATTTTATTAATAATAAACGACAATGTCAATTAATATTTGTTTGCGAAACATCTTTTGCTAACATAACTTATTCAATTCGTAATGGTGATGATAAACAAATCATTAATATATCTGAAAAAGCTCATATGGAACAAATATGGAACAGAAATACTTCTCAATTAAACCCTATTGAACATGAAATAACATTTAAAAATTCTGGTAAAGCTGCAGCTATTATTAATTTCAATGAAATTGTTTCAAAGAAAAATCCATCAAGTCCATTAACATCTCATTTTCATATTGAACCTGATCATTTTTTTGTTTTACCACAATCAACAGTTCCTGTACGTTTTATTTATCATCCAATTGATTTACGAATATTTGATGCTGAAGTAAAACTTCAATCAAACAGTTCTACTACTCTACTCGCTATTCCTTTTCATGTTGAATTTCAAACACCTATTTTAAGATCTACACCACGTACTCTTATTGATATCGGATCAATACAATCAGGACAGATTTTTAAACAAAATGTGTTAATGTTAAAAAATACTGGACAAAAAAAACTTCGTTTTACAATATCTGAATCAATTTTAAAACAACCATTCGTTAAATTAGCTACTTTACAAGGATCATTAACACAAACTCAATTAACATCAGTTAATCAATCTTTTCCAATTATTCCAAATCAAACACATTCATTTTCTGTTAAAATTGAATGTGATACAATTGATAATCATAATTTTCAATCAGAAATTCTTGAACTTGCACAAATTGAGTTAACAAGTTTATGTGATCCAATTATTGATACTGATGGAAAACTAATTAATCGACCAATAACAATTATTATTATTGGACATACAATACCATTTGCAACATTTGCATTACCAAGTAATTCGAATTGTCAAATATGGTCTGCACTTAATCTATTACCTTCGTTATGGTTATATCGTATTTGTCGAGAACATTCTATTCATAGTTCTTATGCTCCATTAGTAGCACTTACTGCTATTGCTCATATATGTGGATCAGATAAAACAAAATCTTCATTACCTGAAACTCAAGATGACTGGTCAACATTTTGTTTTAATCTTTCTCAAGGTAAAACAGAAAAAGTTATACTTAAATCATTTAATGATGGTAATACTTTAAATAATTCTATTGATACATTAAGTACACATCTTCGATCTTCATTTACGAATTATCGTTCATTTTTTTATCATTCTCAATTATTTCATCGTTCGTTTATGAATATCGATTCTATTCGACTTCAACTGTTATCTGTAATAAATTCTGCTGATGATATTGATGAAGCATATTCAATGCAAAATTATGTATCCAAATTCTGGAATATCTTTGAACAATGTACACCTGATGATGCTTATCAACAAGCAATTAATCTTATACATTTCTGTGTTAGTAATGATTGTGCTATGCCTAAAAATGTACGTGTTTTCAGTGATTTAATTCATCAAATAATTCATTCATCAACAACATTCAATGTTGCACAACAATTATCTACACTCATACCTTCAACTGGTACATTTGGTGAATTATTAACTATATCAACAACATCATCTGATTTAAAATGGACTCTACTTTTTGGACTTATTAATGATCAGATTAAACAAATAATGATTAGATTAATCAAGAATGATTATCAAGCATTACTTGATTTACATTTGATTTATTTTAAGCAACATCAATCAATTTCAATACAACGATCAATGCTCGAAGCATTCAAAAATGCAAATCATTTATGGAATACATTAGATTCAAAGCAAAAATCTGATTTACTTTCACCGCTCTTTGTTGATAATATAGATTTAGTTCAAATTATTCAAGGAGTATCAGAAAAGAAACAAGCTGAACTTAATCATTTAATATTAGTCACAAATATCATTCTTAAACGATTTAATATATCTCAATCCTTGTTGAATCAAATTGAGAATATTTTCAAGAGAACTACCTCGTATGATATTTCTACTGCACTTGGTACATATTTTAATATGTCGTATCAGCAACGGGAATCTCTTGCTTATAAAATTTATCTATTTAAAACATCGTTGGTTGACTATGGTAATAAAAATCGATCAATTGAAAAACTTAACATTGAACCATATTGTGATATCATACGTCAGCTTGTCCCACTTAGTTCTGATCAATGGAATTCAGCAAAGAAAGCGATTGCAATGCTTGGGCAGTTACTATGCGATGCCGACAACAAAAACACGATAGTAGCTGTTACTGTTGGTCAATCTCTTCATCTTCTTAATGTACTCAATCCTGATAAGAATTGGTCTTCAATCAAAGGATCTTATGTACAAATCTGTTCTACACCAACTTGGGAAACAATATCCGACTTCATCAATACAATTGGTTGTAATCAAGAAATTATTCAATTGACAAAAACATTTCAAGATAATAATAATGAAGAAACAATAGCTGAAACTGTGTTAAAATTGTGCCGTCTTGTTTCAACAAATGATCAAATCAACTTATTGAGTACACATGAATCATCAATTCGTAATTTACAAATAACTACAACATCACCTGTCGAATTATTGACACAGATTCAATCGTTTGTTTCACCAGAAATTAAAAATAAAATTAATGCTTATCTTACTTTATTACGTTTGTCTCCTCAAAATTTACTCGCTGTCGATGATTACAATCGTTATCTTCTATTTGATAATATCGTTCCATCATGGTTAACATTATTTAATATCACTTGTCCTAAATTTCAACGCTTATTTGAAGCACTTTCATCAATTTTGACATCATTTCCAGGTTTAATAACTGCTAGAGGAATTCCATTATGTCAACAACTTTATACAACAAGTATATCATCAGCATTATGTACACTTGCGAATTGCCGTCAAAATACTCGTGAAGGATTCATTGATACTTCATCATCTATTCCAACGACCAGTTCTCCATCTATTCTTGAAACTATTCATCAAACACTGAAACAGCATATTTCTCAAAATGACCCACCAAAATCAACAATCAATATACCAGCACCTACAACATCATCACCACCACCACCAACAACAACTGCAACAACAACGTCAACTCCATGTCCATATTCTGAAGAAACTCTTAAAAAAATGGAAACATCTGTCAGTCACTATTTGAAAAATAATGTTCGACAATCTGTTCGTTTCGATGAAACGGATACAATTCGTGATATTGTCAAAGCAGCATTAGATTATCGTCCACAAGTAGCACAATGGTATGCTATTTTTGCAACATTCAATGTTCTTATGCATCATCGATCGAATGCAACTGATCCCAATCAAATTGCTGATGGTCATAAAATAGTCCAATATGGTTTACAATTATTACGTGATATTATTGTTGCAAAAAAAATTCTTGAGCCGACATTTGCTTATACAGGTGTTCGATTTTTAGTTAAAGATCTTACACAATTAGAAAAATGTTTACTTTCGTTAGCTCTCGAAAATTATCCATTATTACTCAATACTTTACGTCAATTAAATGTAGATACTACTCAACTTCAACAAGATTTTAAACCGCCTTCACGTTCAATTGGTTCGAATAATGGTATTTCAAAGAAAACTAAACTCGAACTTATTCAAGAAATTGGTATGACATCTGATCCTACTGAATTGAATACTACAACTGAACCAACAGTGACCAGTAATGATGATATACCATTGACGATGGATGATTGGGAGAATGCCATGCAAAAAACTGATGATCAACAACTCGAAGATATTATGAAAATAACTAAGCACAAAACAAAAAACAAATCTAAAAAACGAAAAGTTCATAATTCAGGTAGTTCTATTCAAACTAATGTGGGAAATTTAGCAAGTGCCATGTTAGCTCAAAATACAAATAAAATGAAAGCATCTTCAGCTAGTGATACTACTGGTACTGGTGATATACCTGTAGATGATACAGATGGTTCTCAACAAGTCGATATTGATTTGAAAATGATGGCTATGCATGAACATTTACGAAAACAACCGAATTTAATTGATATGTATGAAAAAGCAAATACGAAAGTTGTTTCAACACTACCCGAAGGTAAATTAGATAATCGTTCAGCACTTAAATCAAATACAAAACCTGATCAATGGACTTATCAATTACTTGTTGAAACGCCAGCAATTGCTCGTATGATAGATACAATTCTACAAGAATTTCGTTTAAATTGGGAAAAATTAATAAATAATGTGAATTTATTAGATCGACATGAAATTCGTTGGTGTATTATGATTGATAATTCAGGTTCAATGAGTATTCATCGTACAATTATCTATGAAACATTAGTTGTTATTATGGAACTTTTACGTAAACTTGAAACAAGATTTGCTGTTGCACGTTTTGGTACACGAAAAAATCAGAAAATTTTAAAAAATCTTCATGAATTATTTACTAATCAAGATGGACAATATGTTCTTGAAGCATTAACTTTTGATGAAGGAACTTATCCTGCTACTGGTTTAGCACGTGTTGCTGATCAAGTTTTTCCAAAGGGAAAAGATTCAATAACTTCATCAAATACAATTGTTCATCGTCTTGTTCTTATGATAACTGATGGTTTAACAGAAGAACGTGATGGAGGAAGTTATTCACGCACAATTACAAAAAATGATATTAAACTTGGTTTTATGTTTATTGAAACAGCTGAACAAAGTAGTAGTCAAGTTCTTCTTAAAGGTTTAGGACAAGCACAACATTGTGTTCTGAAAACAGATGATATTAAAGAATTACCAATTAAAGTACCTGAATTAATGTATCAAATGATTAAAGCATGTTTAACAACATCATCATCAACAACAACAGCGGCAACATCAAAATCAATATTTCCTATAATTAATATTAAAATGCCTAATAAAATCGAAGAATCAAATACTGAAAAATTAAAATATGACGCAGAAAATCAAAGTTCATATACAATTAGTAGTCCAACAGCTACTATTCCAAAATTGACAGAGGTAAAATCTCAATTAATGAATTATTTGTCACGTTCAGATGAATATACAAATTATGCATCAAAGGCAATTGATGAACTTCGTCAATATTATCATAAACTTGAAATAACATCAAAAATGCAAGATATAGAAAAGAACTGGATTGCAGATGAATTTGCTTTTTCAAGTCTTATCGATGATTTAACAGTTGCATTTGGTGATGTTGTTTTTCCATATAATAAATTTACACGTCGTCGAGCAGCATTACGTGGTTCATCACTTTATTTACCTGGTTTAATTAAAGCAATGACAACAGAATGGAGTTATAAGAAAATTTTTAGTGCGAAATTAGCTGGTGGTAAACGTGAACACGCTGTTTGTCTTGTTATTGATGTTTCAACATCAATGTTTGGTACACTTAGTAGTGGAATTATGGATGGAATTATTGTACTTATAGGTGCTTTAAAAAAACTCAATTTAGATAATTGTGGAATTATTATTTTTGGTCGAGAAGTACGTTTAATTAAAACAAATGAACAATCATGGGATACTGGATGCATTTCAACACTTATTAATGAACTACGATTTGATCAAGATGATGATACACAAGATGCTGATGCTATTGAAGTTGCTATTGATCTTCTTAATCAATGTTCAGTACGTGGTGAAAAAAAAATATTTATTTTAACTGATGGTTATACGAATTGTGCTAGTCATATAACAATGGTACAACAACGTGCAGAAGATAATGGAATTGATTTAGTTGCTATAGCTATTGGAATTGACCAAACTAATTTAAAATCTGTTTATAAACGATATATTCAATGTGCTACACCATATGGTTTACCAAAAGCCATACGATCTTTATTTGAAAATGAACCTCAATTATGTTCACTTGAATGGTTAATTAAAAAAGATATTGGAAATACATCGAATACAATTTTAAAACAAAGTCTTTTTGAAGATTTACAATCGAAAAAAGTCTTTAATGATATGATTAAAGATTTAGCTGGTCAACGTGAATTAATGTTAATGAATAGTGGTCAACCACCATCGAATATTACAGTTAATATATGTTTTTGTCTTGATTGTACAGGTAGTATGTCTCGATGGTTATCAGCAGCTAAAGAACAAATGAAAAATATTATTGATGGAATTACAAAACTTATTCAAAAAGAATATCCATCACTTAATTTAAAATTATGTTTTGCTATTGTTGCATATCGTGATATTAATAATAGGCCACAATTTTTTCTTCAAGATTTTACAGATAATACAACAGAAGTAATCAATTTTCTTAATAGATTAACAGCAGGTGGTGGTGATGATTTACCAGAAGATGTTCTTGGTGCACTTGATCAATGTTTAAATTTAAATTGGAGTAAAACAAATGCTCGTTTTATTGTACTCATTACTGATGCACCAGGTCATGGACCAGAACTAAATGATAATCTTGCAATCGACAACTATCCACAAGTAAGTTAATATATCTGTATAAATTTGATTTCAAATAATGAATGTGTAGGGAAATGGTAAACATACAGTACAATCAATTTGTGATCGTCTTTTAACTGAAGATAAAGAAATTGATCTAATGTTTTGTCGTATAAAACCAAAAGCTACAGCTAAAATGGAAGCGGCATTCACTAAATATTACAATGCTAAAAAAGATGAAACTGGTAAAGTATTTACTTCAATTCAATTGTTTGATGAAAAACAACAAGAGAGTCAATCATTTCATTTTGTCTTCGTACTTGATGAGTCAGGTTCAATGAGTCCTCACTGGAGTTCTCTGAAAACTGCTTATAGTGGATTTCTAACACAACGTAATGATGATCAAGGTGGTGACGATCTTTTTACAGTTGTTTTATTCAATAACAACGCACGTCCCATATATCAACGTCAACGTCTTGTTAATACTCATAATCTACCAATGTTAGAAGCTGGTGGTACTACATATAGTGCAGGTTTAAAAGTAGCAGAACAATCAATTGCTGCTGATGGAACAGCATCATCGGTTGTCATGATTTTTATGTCAGACGGTGCTAATTGTGGTGGAGAAGATCCTGTTACGTTGATACGTCAATTGAAGCAAAAATATGGTGGAAATCACAACTTTATTTGTCATACAGTTGGCTTTGGTCCTGGTGTAGCCCCAGGAAGTGCAGAAGCTAAATTGCTTGCTAATATGGCATCAACTGGTGGTGGTCAAACATATTCAGCCAAGGATGCTGGGCAGCTCAAAAGTGTATTCGGTAATATTGCTGCGAATAGCACTACAAGTGATAAGCTTGTTCAACGTTTCTCAGAAATTTTGGCACGTGAAATTAGTGTCAAAATCATGGTCGATTATCTTTGAACAAACATTCATTTTAACCTTAGATAGAAAACTTAGTTAGCTTTTGATACTTCAACTCTACACAATCATTTTTTTTCTTCTTTAATCATGATTAAATAAAATCTACATAAATCAATCTTTTAAGATATTTTCAAAGAGTTTTTTATCGCAGGTCACAAAAAGTGAGCTCGACACTTAAACTCGAAATTTCGAGCTCACTTACGTATCCTCATTTTACCCATCATTCGAACTTCATGTTTTCTCATCTACCACAGATAGATCCTTCCAGACGTGAACATATATCCTATGGAGATACCCATTGCTCCTTAAGGCCTAGACTATGGAGGGTGTGGATACCATAGGAGAAAAAACCTATATTCACAACCATATTCGCATCCACACCCACACCCTCTTTTGCTGAAATAAAAACCGTAGATCTTTCATTTTGATCAGTGATTGTTTTGGTCATGAATTCAAGAATTTATGAAAAAAAGATTTTTAAAAAGCAAAGAAAGGAAAATTCAAAAATCGGGCTCTGTCACGATCTAGCCCTTAGGACACTCTACAACCTAAAAACCACCCCGACCTGTTGGCTCCCGGTCTACACGGTGAAAACTTTGCCTGCGTACAGAGTACTTTTTACCAATAAAATTCTCTGAAATATTTGGCTGAAATCAGACGAAAAATAACAAAGTTGGTTTCTGAGGGGAGGGGACTCTTAACAGTGCCAACTTAAATGCTAATGCTTCCACTTTTTTTCCTACATCTCTTTCCTCCTCTTCTAATTTTCACTTCTCAATTAGCAACAATCCTATTGAAACGGATAAACAGCGACTTAGACATTGCGGATTTAATGAAAAGGAATGTAAGCAGCTATCAAAATACTTATATGAATGGTACTCGTCATCAACATTAAATCAAGTTATGTCCCAATGGGAACAACATGCTGAAAAGGAAATAAACAGTCAAAATGACGAGCATATGCCCCTCACTTTCATTTCCTATAACGTTCAGAGTCTAACCACAAGGGGTTTATAAGTACTTGACCTTATTCGCCAAGTTGGTGCCTCATTCATTGTTTGCATGGAAGTAGGAAAACAACACAATATCCTTCAGATTCCAGATTTTAATTTGTTTCACGAGAAAGAAACTAATAAAAATGGTGGAGTTACAATAGTAGTCGGGAAGGGTGTGGGTGTGTATCTTCCACTTACATCTACAGCAAAACCCACACCCACGCACACCCACCCACATCCACACCCCACACCCACCCACACCCACACAAACCCACACCCACCCACACCCACACCCACACCCACCCCACAG